AAAGTACAAATGATATCTCAGGGCTTCGTTAAGGCAATTGTAACTAAATAATTTTTATAATTTGTTGTAATCTCACTTTTTATCTATATTTGATGTTGCTTCATCCATGACCAGGATTTTATTCTTGCGAAGAATCGTTCTGGCAAGACAAATTAACTGTCTTTCTCCTACGCTGAAATTTCGTCCTCCTTCTGACAAATGTGTATCCAATCCTCCAGGCAACGTACTGATAATTTCCTTTAATTGCACCTTTAGTTGAAACGTTTTAAAAAAAAAAGATGGTGATAAAATTAAGCCACTAAAAAGAATTAAACAGGTATATAAGAGAGTAAATGAAAACAATTGCGCGTGTTTCTAACCTCTTCTATAGCTTGCCACAGAATTTCATCTGAATATTCATTGAAAGGATCGATATTTCTTCGAAGTGGACCGGTAAATAACATTGGATCCTGAAAAATACACACGCTATTTTATTCGTTTTGTAATTTTTTATGAGATTGTTTGTATTATGGTTACGATAGTGGTAAATGTTGCATTTCTTTTCTTTTATTAATTATTTTAAAAGATGCGCGATGTGTCTGCTTTCAGGAAAGTATCAGTATTGTATTTAACGCTTTTCCCTTATGTTCTTAATATATTTTCGGTAAGTTTGAAATTTCAGAAGTTGAAATTCATTGCAAACAAATTAGTTAATTTATATAATTAACTAATTTGGAGAGGAGAGGAGGGTATTATGGAATACTCGGGTAATATGGAATACCGAGGTTTCGGCTCTGTTTGTTGCTGCTATTATGAGGGAACACGATGAACTACTCAAGAAAGACTCCCTCGATGCAGTGCAGTGAGAGTTGACCGCTTGTTGTCGTCGTACCACTCGCTACAAAATAAAGTGTGTTTTGTGATTTTCAAGAGTTTTTGCAGGCAAGTTTTCAAACGTTTTAATCTACTAGTACACAAATGACTTGTATATTGACGTTAAACATAATTTACACTAAAAGAATTGAAGTTTGTTATACTGTAGTTGTTTTATCGTTCTTTTTAGCTGACAATGTTTTGTCCATCAGTTTAAAGGTTCATTTTCCAAGATGAAGTGTCGGGTATTATCGAATACTAGGATAACTTAATAAACTGAAAGAAAAGAACATAAAAAAGAACCAGAAGATTCAAACAACAAAAGAAACCGTACATTCAAAGACCATCTGTTAAGAAATTAAACTTAGACCGATCTTCTAGACCTAAACCTACTAGAGATGACTCCAGTGTTTTCAGCGATGAATCGTTAAATTAGAGTTTCTCAAACGGGATTCCGGGATCCCGGGATCCCGGTTGTTTTTTTAACCCGGGAAATTTTTCTTATCCCGGAAAATCCCGCAAATTTCTTAAAAATTCACTTTTTTTCTTATTTTGTGTTAAGGTTGAGGAATTTTGCAAATAGAAAACATAATTAACTCATTCACTGTCAGATTACATTTGTATTTATTAATTTTAAACCTACCTATTAGTTTTTTTTTTAATTTTTGCTCGTTATAGCATGTCACAAATGATCAATAATCAATATATAGCTTATTTGTGGCAGGACTATAAAAATTCTTTACTTGTCGGAACCTGTAATATCTGGAATAATTGTGCTTACGCTGTCTTGAGTTTTAACCATGCCCAGTAGCTTCAATAAATGCCTGACGCCAGATT